GGGAGGTGCTGTGAGTCTGCTCCTTCCAGGCTGTGTTCGTCAAATCCATCTTCTGACACACAGAACAGAGGAGGCCGTGATTTATGGGCTGATGATGGGAGACTAATTAATATAAGAACCAAACAGATGCAAAGAAAAACTAAGGAGAAAAAGACGATAAAGTCAGAAACTATGGAAAAACAAAAGATTCAAAGATGAGCAACGTAAAAAAGAAAGGTTTGATAAGCAGGAAGCAAAGGACCTCTGGGATCCCTCTGGCCGTCTGAGGCTCTGGGTCCCCCGGGGGCCTGCCTCACTGCTCCCGGGGGGGTGGGGGGGACAATTATTCTTATTGCCACATTGAGAGACAAGACGCTGTTATAAACAAAGAAGCAAAGCTCTACATCCAGCATCACTGCAGGCTGAGTTTGGCCTTTAGGAACTTTAGTTTCCACATATTAGTTTTAAAATCTAATGTTTTCTCATATCCAGTGAGTAATGGAGGGAAAGCTGTGCTTCAGACGCCGTTAATCAGATCAGTGAGGCGTTTCTACTTACTGTGGACTTCAGGCAGGCTCTGAGTGTCAAACTCTGGAAAGAGAAACAGGCAGTGAGGGAACGAACATGTTAGCTGCAAATAAATACAGCCCTGCAGAAATAATCACATCCCTCAGTTTAGATCTTTCATTTCTATCCCTGCAGCCGACCATCAGTTCAATGATGATATAATGAGACGTGGCTCCTATCATTAGATGCTAGCGTAGCCATGCTAGCAGGAGGAGGAGGAGGAGGAGGACTCCCTCCGAGCTTTGAGGGCCCAGCGGACCACAGCAGGAACTCAGGGAGGCTGCTGAAGGCGGCGTGCGTGAAGTCATGCGTGTTTAATTCAGTCCAGACGGTCACATGAGTCTCTGCATGTGACCAAGTGCAGATCCTCATGTTTCTGTTAACATGCATATTTATGGCTGGTTTTATAACTGAAAGTTGGTTCACATCTGAAAAGCTGCATTCCAGCAGAGAGGAGCTTTCTCCTCCTCCTGCTCCTCCTCCTGCTGGGCTGCAGAGCCCTGCTCTCCAGGCTGAGCCAGCGCCTCTGCCCCCCCCACGCCGCTGCCCTCCAGGGTGACTCAGCGTAAGCGGTACCAGCAGCCCTGGCCCACTCCCATCCAAACGCTGTGATCTCACTGGGAGACCTGCTGCGCAGAAAAACGCTACGAACTGAAATAAAACCGCAGTTTAGAAAACTCCTTTAGTTTGCAGCTTTATGAAAGAGAGCAAAGAATAAAAGGAGGAATGAAGTGAACACACCGATCTGAACACTATTTCCATCCATTTAGCTGCTGCACCTCTGGAAACACTTTCTCTGTTAACGAGCAAAAAAGACTGTTTGTTCTCACCAACAAATCCTCCTCCATGAGCTCACTGCTCTCTGTCCTTCAGCATTGAAGCAAATGAAAATGTTTCTATTTTAAAACCTAAATAGTTAATTTTT